TTGGTGTTGTTTACCTGACGACCTCCGCGTGGCCCCCGCCGCACGCCCACATGAACGAGTTCGACCCGAACTCGTCGTCCCTGTCGTGCAAGGCCGCTCCGGCCTGCAGCAAGACCTTTACCACCCCGAGCCGACCTCCCCCGCTCGCGATCATCAAGGGCGTCCAGCCCTCAATCGTCCTGGAGGAAAACCACACGCGAACATGAACAACCCGGAAGCGGATCTATGGACAAGGGTCATAGGCGTTACGGACAAGAGCCATGGGAAACGCTAGGATGGCACCCCCGGGTTCCCGATTTCCGGTTGTCGAAAAGGCTCTACATTAAGGTACAGGTTACAAGGGAAGATAGGTGGGGGGGGAATGTGCGTCGTTGTTGCAGGGCGTATTTTGCGGCTGCAGTCAGGTTCACCTGGCCGCAACGCTGGATGGTGGGGATACGCCGTTGACGAGAAGAGACGCCATCTCGGTGTCCCCAGATGCGCAGGCCACCATCAACGGAGTCCGACCTAAGCTCGGGAGCATGCGTTCGTGACGGGCCACATCCAACAGTGGTCAAGGGGGTTGTAGCAAGGAACTGTTTTAGTCGCGCTTCGTACCTGGCCATGTCCCGGTCAGAGGGTTGGTATGGCAAGAAACGTTTCACTCGCGCGTCACATGTGCGAACACGATCGACGTGTTTGGAAACGCCCGCTGCACTGACAAGACGAGTATCCTTCGTCGGCGTCGATAGGTGTCTGCGGCGTCACCCTACCGGTGTACTCCGTGCACACCCGTGGTGGTGGATAAACCGCCGCTTTGCCATCTGTGTCCCAACATCTCGCAGGATCTACATGTTTCGCTACATGCGGTGAACGTCTATTCTCTCCTAGGCATCGTGTTTAGACTTGGTCCAAGGTATTATTTGCTCTCAATTTGTTTCCATGCTCAAGCGGTGCTTCTTTCGGAAGGACACTCATACATGGCACGGCCGTCATCAACGTGTTGGCTCGTAATTGCACGGTGGCCATGCTCCCCAAAGAACGGCCATACACAAAATTATTTCCTGAAGCATCACACCCTTCGTACCCTCTGAATCCGCTTCGTCGATAGTTGCGCCCGCGGCTAGCTTCGCCCGCACTCCGGTAGCGTCGCCTCTCCTCACGGCTGTCCAGATGTCACCCAAGGTCGTCTGTAGAGTACGATTGATTGGTGACGTTGATCCATTGGCTGCTCATGATTCGGTCGTTGTTGTTGTCGTTGTTGTTGGTGGATGTGGTGATGATGTTGGTTTTGGTGGTTGTGGTGGTGGTGTTGTTGTTGATGACGATGGTGATGATAAACGCTGTTAACTTTGCGGGTAATGTTACGTTTAACGATTGTGGTGTTGACGGGAGTGGTGAAGATTCTCTTTCTGCTGCTGCTGTTGGCTAGAAATGGTAACGAGAACTTGTTGCAACGGCAAAAATTGTCATACCATGGGATCTATGACAGCGAAAGACTTCCATCCCTGACTGGGCCTATCTTGCCATATTGACGAAGGGACAAACGCCGTTCAGATCAATAGACCATACAATGGCAATGAAGTTCGTACACAGCACGCTGAGCTCTACAACTTTGGGGGAGATCTGACGGCTACACTTACCAAATATTTTGGGAGGCGCTATGAGATGTCAATATAACAAGACTGAAAGAGCTTCATGGACAAAGTTTTCCTCTACATATCGTTAGATGGAGCAAGAGAACCGTTCTTGGGCAATCACGAAATCACCCCCCCCCAGCCGTCTGCTTACCGGCTGTTGTTGCTGCTTCTGCTGCTGCTGCTGCCAATCTCCCCGTTTATTTGCTTCATCGGGAATAGGTGGCAGCTCGTAGTAGTTGAAGACTGCTGGCGTTGTTCCTGACAGTGCCGATGGTGCCGGTTTTGATAGTGGTGCTGCTGGGGTTGCTGCTACATCCGATGAGGTGGAACGCACTCCTGCCGCAGCTGGTCCCCCTCGTGATGATGCCGATGACGAGTACTCGTCTTCTGCCGCTCGATCGACTTCGATGTTTGCTGGAACGTTGGCCTTCGACCGCGAAGCACATGGAACAGTTCTGGTAGCAGTGATGGGGGAGGGGTCAAGCAGCGCGCTCGACTCGTCGTCGACATCGTCCGTTCCAAGATCCGCCGCAGACTTGTTGACCATCAGATCTTTCTCCAAGGTACACTCTGGTTGCTGTTGCTTCTGCGTCTTGGTCGCCTCGGTTTCGGCCGCTGTCGTTTTCTTTCTTTGGTCATCGTCCCTGGTGTCTCGCTGGTTGTGCTGTGGAACCGTCTGGTCCTTTGTGGGGTCAGCCGCAGGGATAACCTGGGGCAACAACAACGTGTCCTCTCCGACTTCATCTTCGACCTCCTCCTCCTCCTCCTCCTCCTCCTCCTGCTCGGAATGAACGCTTCCGAGATCCCGCTCTCCAATACCAAGAGCATCGTTGGGTTCTTCGATCGCGAAACGGACCCGACGTTGCTCGGTCGGCAGAACCGGGAGTGCGCCGTTGCTCTTCACTGCGCCCGGTTCCTTGTCTTCTGTGCTTCCGTGCCCACCACGCCCCTTTCCTCCGGCCCCTTGGTTAAGCCTTTCGCCTTGGCAGGTGACGTGTTGTCGTGGCATGACATTGGGAAGAGTGTCGTCGTCTTCCTGCTCCGCCACCATCGTACGTCCGTCACCGTGTTCTCCACTTTTGCCGTCGTCCTCGTGCTTCCCACCTACCACGTCGGTAACAGGTTTGCGGCCTTCCGCAGCACCACTTTTCACCACGTCTGGCGCTTTTGTGGACAACGCTTCCAGGGAAGGGTCCATCACCGTCCTGCCGTCTGCCACCGTTCGGTTGCCGTCGAGATCACCCTTGCTATCCTCCGCCGCCCCAAGACTGCCACCGACGCCTGTAAGCAAACCTCCCGGTGCGCTGGCTGAGTTCTGCAATCCTCCTTCTTGGCAACCTCCCTCACTGTTAACGACGGGCGGGTGCACGGCTGCGGTAGCACGAATCGTCTGTTGTGCCTGTTCGCTGAGTTTCGTCGGCAACTCGGACCTGATGTCGGAGGGGCAGGTGACGGGATCTGGTTCTCCTGGCTGCGGGTTTGGCTCCTCTCCATCTTGAAAGTCCTGGAAACTTCTCTCACTTCCGTTGATTTCTTCGGGCTCCGCCAAAGAGCTGTCATCTGCGATGTATTTTACAGGAGAACGGCGTAAGCGAGGGTTCGAGAGTAAACCATTGCAACGTGAACAACGTCGTAGGCTAAACTTCATCTCCAATCAGTGTTTTGACACTAAAGTTTCCCTCTCAACACTCACTTACCGGTGGTTGAACATCCTGGGCCTTTACTCAGTGTTGGGGTGATTGGATCGTGCGTAATGTCAACCCTGGCTGGGGCGGTCGTCCACGAACTCTCAAAAGGGGCAATGCCTCCAGCTGTCGAATCTTTCGCTTTCATGTCCTTTTCGATCGCTTTGCCCTTACTGTCGACGGCAACGACGTCGTCTTCTGGGATTTTCTTCGCGGCCGTGTTGCGGGTCTCCACAGTAACTCCTCCTGAGCCCGCCACAATGCTCTTTTCCTCAAGCCTTGACCGTGAGTCATGGGTGCAGCAGTTCGTCGTGGCGGGGCCTGTCGCCACCGTGCGGCCGACTCCGTGGTCTGCAGGAGGTATAGCTTGCTGCGGTCGCTGTGCCTGCTCATCACTTGGAAGGCGTCCCTGGTGTTGCCGCAGCTGCTGCTCGCCATTTCGGTGCTGATACTGTTCACCCTCCTGTTGTTGCAGTTGTGGCTTCGGGGGCTGCGTTTTCTGCTGTCTCTGGATCTGCTTCTTTGTCGTGTCCACCCGGCTTTCGGTCGGTGCCGCCAAGGCGCCCTCAACAAGAGCAGCAACACCACCACCGCCACCCTTGCCCCGTTTCTTTTTCGGCCTATTCCTCTTCTTCCTTTGCTGCGGCTGCTCCTCTTGCTGACCCGTAGAAACCCTTGGCTGATCGCTGCTTCTACCTTGAGCCGTTGCCGTTGCTTCTTGCCCCCCGGCACCTGGAGGCGATGTGGCAGTGGCTAAAGGTCCTGGTCTTTGCCTGGCTCGTTCTTGTCGCCGCCCACCGATCTTGTGGTTTGCACTTGACGCCATCACCACCCCCTTGGTAACACACCTCCGACGACCCTAACAATGCGCGATGCGAACTCACTTCACCCTTATATTTTGCTTCCGTGCACCACGTGAATGGTGTTCGGGGGGTCCTACGCAATGGAGGTCTTGTGGTGTGCAAGGTATTCACCGAAGATATTCGAGCAGAAAAGATCCCGGTTTGTCTTGCCAAGAAAGGATTCAATCCTGATTTCTTGGCGTACGACACCTGGCAAGCGCTCAATCAATGCCGTAATAAAGGTAGACACGCGAAATCATATATAAGTCTTGCTGCGTGTATTGCTCGCTGCGTCCGTCGCCATGCGGTGTGCTCTGGCGATATCGATGCGCGTTTGTTCGAACATGAAACAGCATAAAAAACGCCGCGTGGAGTTCCTGTAGATATCGCGGAGGATGTTATCTGACAGTCCCGTGATTTGAGCGCACACCCAGGCACCAGACTGTGCGCCTGTCGCTTGCATTTAGCGAGCGCAAGCTTGACAGGCAGCGCATATTGCGACCATGATTCTACGGGTGGATTGCTGCTGTAGTGTGGCGGCCCGTCTGTGCCCTGCGCAAGCTCTAGCAGCTGCTCGGAACAGCAGGACCGGGCCTGCGCTGCTACTGCTGTGCACGCGGCCTAACTTGACTCGCCATGAGCGGCAGCAACGGCGAGCCTCCTGCTCAACACCCGCAAGACGTGAAGTTACTGCTCCTCCATCCGCTGCCCGGACACCACAAACACTGAGGTATCGCTTCCCCCTGTCCACCAGGCGTGTTGTTCGGTGTCTCGCCAGTAGCAGACACGTCTCGTCCAAGGTCGGGCTTCCACCAGCAGCAGCAATCAACGCTGTGAGGGCGAGGGGAGAGGATATGGACGGCGGTGGTATTAGATTCGGCGCGGAACCGGAGGAAGGAGAAGAGGGGGGGCTTCCCAAACGGCAGCAAGGAGAGCGTCGCGATCTCAAAGGGTTAAAACAGAGGGTCGTGGTTGGCATGTCTGGAGGGGTGGATTCCTCGGTTGTGGCCATGCTGCTGCATCAACAGGCGAGTGAAGTTGGAGTGCAGGCAACACAGCAGCAACGGTTTGTACCATCCAAAGCAACACTGAACCCAACTTGTAACCACAATTCATCCTGGACTGTCGAAGATCCCTGGATGGAGATGGGTTCTGTTCCTGTAAGAAAAAAGAGTACTGTAGTAGAATCGATAGTGTTCAACGTGTGCGGTTCGTTCATGATTGTGGCATTGCTGATGACCTTGCTCCATCCTGGCCTCTGAACCAACGGAACAGACAATGGCGCGCGTCTGTTAATTGGTCATGTACACGCCTTATCTTCAGCTGGTCGCGTGTCACACTCGAAAATGCAGGTCTCGTGCTTCTGGTTGCTCTGCGCTGCACAATATCTTGCGTCTGATGACGCTGGCCTCTCTCTTGGCTGACTTGGCTTCCGTACATACCCACTGGCCACTTCTCAAACTCTTTGATCGATTGATCAGAGGGATAATCTTGCGAGAGCTTTCTTGTAGGAGTGTTTACGGGGAAGAATAGGATGGATGGGAAAGGAACGGATTCAGCATGCTCTCAACATGAGACCGCATTCTATGCGTGACTAACAAGAACCAACCTCGATGTGAGAGTAGAGCCTGACGTGTCATTCCCTCTCCTCGTCGGTTACCGCTCGCCCCCCTCCGGATTGGATCGAAACAACAGGGCTACGAAGTCGTGGGTGTGTTCATGCGCAACTGGGACGAACAGGATGAGACCGGGAGCGACGTTTGCGCGGCTGACACTGACCTAGAGGACGCCCGAAGAGTGGGATACCACCTCGGCATCCCGGTGAAAACGGTACGCTCGTGCTTCCATGGACACGTGTGGGAATGTGGTGTGTGGGTGGTGATCGTGGTGGTGGTGGTGGTGGTGGTGGTGGTGGTGCTGCTGCTGCTGCGGCTGTAGCCATGCGCATAGGTGGCCCTGTGCTAAATCGCATCTATCAATCGGGCACGATTGACCGCGTACAAAGCAACGCTGTTGATCGTGTGAATCGCGTAGCCGTCTGTCTCGGTAAAATTGACATCGTGGGCGAATATATGACAAACGATGGCTCCGCGATATCGATGGAGTGAAAACCGTGTGTCCTTTTGTTTCAAAAAAACACTCCCGACGCGACCTCGCCAGACCCAAACCTCTTGTCGGCATCACAACTCTTCTCAACGTGGAGGTTCTTAGGTGGTCGGGATTTGTCGTGCAACATTCGACTGACTCGAGAGAGAAATGCCTTGTTGATCCCCTACTTCTTTCAAACAGTCCACGAAACTTGTTGAGTCCCTTATTCTTCCAAACAGTTCACGACACGTCTAGTGGGAGCAAGGGGAGGAAGAAATATGGAGAGGGTTCCTTCTCTGTAGGCCAACCTCTCGATCTGTGCCGGTGAACTGAAGAAGCTGCGGTGGGAAGGCGCGCGTAGTACCAGGGTATATACCTTTGAAAGCACCGTTCTCTGGAACGTTCTCCCCGCTTGCCGTGTCGTGTCGTGCCAACAGGTGGACTTTTCTCGGGAGTACTGGAACGAGGTCTTTGAGCCATCTCTCCAGGAGCTTGATAGGGTGAGCCACGGGAAGAACACCTTCATTTTGTGTTGTTGATTTGTTCCTTTTAGGTCTTTCCCGTCCAACAGGAAATGCGTCGTGTTCTTGCATTTGGTATGTACCCGACGACGTCCCTTACGCCGAATTATTCGAGAAATGACTTTGTGGTACTTTCTAGCACTTGCTGGGTGCCCCCGTGCCCTCTGTTTGGGTTCGTCAGCCTAATTTTTGGTGTTCCGAACATCTCCCGGTTCCGCCTGTTTAGCCGTGTCGTGTTTTTCATTGTGCCCTCGTCCTGAGGCACCTTGCCCGTTTCCCGTCTAGTCGAAGCAACGCCTCGTGGGCGTACACCGAACGGCATGCATTTAGCTTTTCCGGCAAATCGAACAAATCAGATCGAACGCCGTCATGTTTGTGCGTCGGTACATGGTGATGAGCGGTTAACATCATGTGAGTTTTGCTTTTGCATCACTCGAACGAGAACCAGATCAATGAACGCCCACAACATGTGCGTTGCCTGTGCGTTGCCTGTGCATCGTGAAATGGTGGAACGAAACAATAGTGTCGCACGCCGAACATGGACGTGGCGTGCAACCGCTTCATCAAGTTCGACGCTTTCAGGGAGCACGCGCTGGGCAGGATGTCGGCCGACTTCGTGGCCACCGGTGAGTGGGTATATATATATATGGCTTTTCTCTTCTCGAATAGCACGGAACCCCTGATACCGCCGCTTCCGACGCATGGTGCCCCCGTTGCGTGTGCTTGCTTTGGATTAGCCATTGTGCTGGTGTTCTTGCTGGCGTTCTTGTCGCCGCCGGTCAGTGGAACCCAGAGGGGCGACAGCTTTTTAGGACGGCGGGGGGAGGGGATGCTCATAGCCGTGCATGCCGTAGTCGTTAGGCCATAGACCTCGCATCCCTACAAAGCCGGGACGGAGCACATCGGGTTGTCACCGGACCAGGCTCAGCGCTGTGGGATGCTAGCTCTTCCGAAAGGAAATGTTGTTTTTTGCCAAGTGCCACCACTTTCTGGGGTCCTTCGTTCCGTCACTGTTTCCAAGACAAACTACCACAATAAACCCCATGTATGCTATGTGTGCTGTTTTCTCTTGTATGCATTCGTGTGTTGTTTTCTGTTGCGCCATCCATGTCTGCGCGGTGCAACACCCACCAAGGCCACTACGCCAGGACGGCACCGGGTCCCGGCGGGGATTGGTCCAGGCCGGTGTTGAGACAGGCGGAGGACGGAAACAAGGACCAGACGTACTTCTTGTCCGGCGTGCCTAGCGAGGGGCTTGCCAAGGTATTTTTTTGGCTGCATTTTTCTCTTTTGTGTTCCTCCTTCGCGACACACGTGGAATGCCAGCTGCCAATAGGGAGGTGTGAACCATATCCTCCCCTGAACTGCTTCCCGCTCTGCACAGCAGGTGCTGCTCTAGCTGCCTAGCCCTCGGCTTGATTAATCCTACGGGAGAGATAGTGGCAAGCCTTTTTTAGAAGCTCATGGGTGGATTAGGTTCCCTCGCAATGTAAAACAATGTAAAATCGGGCTTGCAAAGACTGCCGTCGTTGCTACTGCTATCTCCTGTTGGACTTGATGCCCTGATACTGTGAAACCACCAAGTCAGGACTTCCGCCATGGAGGTGACCTGCCTGCTCCTAATCAGAGTTATTTTGATTATCACCTCATTCCTTTTGGGTATCATTCGCTGGGTAGGTTCTACCTTACTGTATGGTCGTTTTCAAGAGCTCCAGTCCATGGTCAGACGCAAGAGTTCCTCTCGTTGTGCATGCCTCCGTTCATTTTCGGTCTTGCCCTCATGCGTGGGCGCAGACGGCCGCCGCAGACGTCAGGAGTCGGAACAGGATATCAACCGGACGCACTTGAACGGACATGAACCCTTAGTGAAAACAACACTCGCTGCAACCTCTCACTCTCTTCTTGATTTATACGTCGTCTCTCGAGTGTTCTTTTTGTATGACATTCCTGGTGATTAGCTTGCGACCACTATAGACGTCCGCATAGTAGGACCAATCCCAATGCTACAAGGTACTAGGCGGGGGTCCGGATGGTTTACAACGCGAAAACCACCCAAAACAACCAACAAAAACAACAACAACAACCAACATGGACAGGTTTTGTTCCCCTTGGGAGGCCTCACGAAGCCCGAGGTTCGCCGCCTTGCCGAAGAAGGCGGCCTTCCGGTAGCCCGGAAGCGGGAGTCGATGGGCGTGTGCTTCGTGGGCAAGCGCCGGAGCTGGGCGAGCTTCATATCTCAGTACCTCACCCCGAGCCCAGGTGCGCATCTCCTACAAGATGTCGAGTGTGCAGTACGTTGCTGGTTACCAACCTCAGCTCCACACATCGGAGAGCAACCGGTCGACAGTGTACCTTGTGTAAGAAGAAGAAGAAGCGGCACTTCGTCGAGCGGCACTTGGTCGTTTTTTTGCGTTGTGGGAACATGCGAGCGATTGGTGAGCTTTGCTGCTGTCCTCGTCTTTCATGCCCTCTCTGCCGTGCCTCCTGCTGTACCGCCGAATACTTCGTGGCGTTCTCCCGCTCCTCGAAGCGATATATGTGCTCCCTCACTGACCCCCCCCCCCGGTTTGCGGCCCCCCTACAGGAAACTTCGTGTGCGTAGACACCGGAGAGGTCGTGGGCCGGCACGGCGGCGTGCAGCTCTACACAGTAGGTGAGGGCTAGCCGCGTACTGGCGCGGCTGGTCCCAGCAGCGCTGAAGTACCCGGTCAAAAGTCGAACCTGACGGAGAGGAGAGAAGGCCGGATGGCCGGCCGAATGTGGCGACTGCCGGGCATGTCTCTTGTTGCCCAATGACTTTGTTTCCGGAAATGACGGGGTGGACACGCGCACATCGCTCACGACGAAAAACATGCACACAGTAGAACTTGGTGCTCCTCCCCCTCTTTTGCTAACCCCAATGCTCCGTCCTCTCGAGGACGCGTGGTCAATGGGCTTAGGCATGGTCAACATGAGTACGCCCCCTCGCACGCGCGCTCCACGATACCATACCCTGAAAATCGAAAACCCATCGCAGGGCAAAAGTCGCACTTGGACGGCATGCCCGAGAAGTACTACGTGGCCGGGCTAGACTCCGACAGCAACTCCGTCTACGTGGCGAGGGGGGCAGATAACCCTTCCCTCTTCGCCCGGGGCTTGTCCGTGCTAGCATCGAAGTTTAGCTGGGTGGCGGGCTGCCCCCCCCCGGAGCTATTGTCCGGAAGCGGAAGCCATCCCTCAGCACCCTCGAGACGAGAAGCAACTAAGGCAGGTGGCGGGCCAGCGGGAGTAGAAGCACCGGTACCGACGAAAGAACGGCAACCGGCAGCACCAGGAGGAGAACCGATCGACGCGGGCGAAATGGAGGGGCCGCCTCCTGTCTTGCGGTGCGAGTACCGGAGTCGCCACAGGCAAGCCCTCCTCCCTTGTGGCGTGGAGCTGCTTGGCGGCGGTGGGAGCGGGGCTTCGGTACCTCGCCCCGTCGTGCACGTGCGCTTCGATGAGCCGGCGAAAGCGATCGCGCCCGGCCAGGTAGTGGCCCTGTACAAGGAAGGCATTTGCCTGGGGGGCGGTCCCATATTGCGGGCGGAAGGGAACTGCTCCCCAGCGCTTGTTCGATCAATGCGGCCGCCGTCGTCGCGACCCGCTGCGACAAAAAATTGTCATGCAAAAATGTAGATAATATCCTACCCCGTTGTTCATGTGTCCCCTATAGTCGACGGGTGTGTACAGAACTGTTGTAGATGCCCTCTTCTCTTCTTGTCGGTGCACGCTCCTCTTGCCGTCGCGCAAACTGCGGAAGGAAGCGGGCGGATTCATGACATCAATCACGTTTTTTCGGTGTGTGCAATGTATATCCAATGGCGAGAAGAGGATTGTGGTGGCCCTTGCGTGGCTAGCAGTAACGTGTGGAACGTTGCGTGCAGTTGCGGCATGTGAAATGATCGACCATGAGGGCTATGGCCTCGCCCCGTGTTGTACAGCATCGATCGCCAACCACCATACAGATCTCATTGGCTCCTTGGGAGCATTCGGGGGGTGGGCGAGATGCAAGCGGTTTGTTATGCCAAGTAGGTTCTTTTCGTTGCTTGGAGGTTCGCAAGTAACCTTTGTACAAGCAAGTGTTGGCTTTGCCCTCCGGACTATGTATCACATGCAGCAGTTGAACGCTGAAAGCCCCTAAAACTGTCTCGCACAGAAGGCCGCCGCAACAAAAAAAACAAGTTACATGAAGGCAGCATGTAGGGGCCATATATGGCACATCACAACACCACACACGTCGGACTCCTTCGTCCACAGGAATAATCCTAGCATCTAAATGTACAAACCAGCATCATTTTCCCACATGTCCCAAACATCAGCCTTGGGCGATTGCATCCACGGCACCCCTTCTTCGACAGAGAGAACCCTATGCTTGTTCAAGGTTCAAACTCTACCCAGAGAAAACAGCCTGGATTGGCCTAAAGATCCGACTCAATCGAGCGCATCGACGGTTGGTCTCGTCACTGCTGCTTCCCCCCCACGCCCAACCGCGCTACAGTACCCCCCAAACCACGGCACCCCGTCGACCCACTGCACCCGCCCAAAAGCCCGAAAGTCAAGAAACCCCTCCACAGCAGCCTCGCGGATACACGTACGCCCACGAACGGCATCTATCTGCGCACGCACCACTTGCGATCGTCGGGACGGAGAAGCACGCGTGGCTTCCGAAGTCGACCACGAAGAAGTACCTCAGCAACGCCCGGAAGAAAACCTCTAACAAACATGTATCAGCCTTGAGAAGGGGGGGGCGGGGGGGGGTCAAATGGGAGCCACGGGAACGAGAGTCCGCCGACAAAAATGGTCCCCGTCAAAGAGGGGTCCTGATCGCCCCTGCCCAGCGGGAGCACTCACGCAGGCAGGAAATAGAGCCACCCCTCCGTCCTTCAACTATCCGCTCCCGCCAAGACACCCCTGTGCCGTCGTCTCAAGCCGTCCTCCCTGCCGCCCCCGACCGCCTCCGGGCCATCTAACATCTCGTCCACGGGCGTCGGAGTGGCACCTCCGCTCCCACCTAGCGCCGACTGGCCGATCTCGACCTAAAGTTGTGTGAAGCCCGGAGGGGGAGGGGGAGGCACTCACGGTTCCGTCTTACTCGCCAACGGGGGCTCAAAAATGTGTTCCAGGTCTCTTCTCTCCTGTCGGTATCGCTTCCGGAGGGGGTAGTACGGAATGCCAAGCACAGCCGTTTCGTGCATGTCCACCCACCAACAGCAGCGTTAGTGCTTATGCGCGATGGTAGTGTTAGGTGGCTGATGACATGTTGAGATGGGAGAAATACCTCTGAGGGCCGGAACACGCACCACGTCGTTTCGTTGTGTGTGGACGCATAGATAGTTTCGTGCGCTCCGGGTGTACGCATGGCGTATTATGACAGCAACACCCCCAACAACCAAGTGTGTCCCATCACCAGGAAGCGTCTGCGCAAGAACATTTCCCCTATACGCGGCACGAGCCACGCATCATGGGCAGCAGACACCCAACAAGGGAGTACGCAGGTTATCGAACCACAAGGGCGCGGAAAACTCTCGACGAACACATAAAAAGGTCCAATCAAACCACGCTTGCAGCAGGAGTGCGAACTAGGCCGCTTGTCCCCCCCCCCCCGCTACAGACATCGAGACTGAGGCATTTTCCTCCTCCGACCTCGTCTTCTTCTCACCAGCCTTACGTCACCCTCGTTGCCCGGACCACCGACCCAGCCCCCGTGCACCAAGAGGCTCCCGCACGAACACGGGGGTGCCAGGAGGAGAAGCACCGACTTCGATGGCTCTGTGCGCACGGTGGCTGTGCCCTGCTTGAGGCCCTGGCGAACCCGCGCTCCGGTGGGAGAAATCTGGCGGTGAATTCAGTCATTCGAGGGTGCCCAAAATTGCACATGGGGGAAGATTCAGGGCGGGGGGTTGCTTGTAACAAACAGTCTTTGTCCTGCTTGGTCTCATTCGCCCTCAGGCCTTTTTCTCCAACACGAGGAGTACATCTGTTTACGTCTATTTCCACCATTGTTTGTCGTGTCCGCTGGGTAATGCAATACTGTGAATATGCATGGGCCGGGCAGGGGAAGGGCCGCTGCACCAGGCTACCGTATTGGTCGTTTAGGAAATTCGTACAAGACACATTAAATCCGGAAAACACACAAAACGTGTCTGTTCCTACCGGTTCCTACCTCGTGCATGGCTGCACAGCTCTCTCTCATACACAAAAGAGACCGTGGGCAACAAAAACCATGTCAGCATGACAGGAGGCAGACTGTACATGCGTCCAGCGGGAGGCAAGGCAGCACAACTAGGAAGCTTGCCGGGCATCCAATAGACGATACGAAAGCACGACGCACGCAATGGCCCAACGGACCAACAAAGCCGGTACTAAACAGCGCGTTCAAAACTAGGTATCAACAGCATGCCCGGCGCAGATACACTGTGCAAGAGCACAACACGCGCAAAGGTCAAACGTAACAACAAAACCGCACAAAACAGCAGCGTGTTATTCCCCTCACCACGAAAACCGCCTTCAGCACCCCACGCGCGCCCCCTCCCTCCCCGCCCTCGCCCGCGCCTCCTTCAACAAGCCCCGCAAACCCCGGGGCTGGCGCTGCTACGTTCCCGCCTCCCCCGAACGCTCCAAACCCGGCCTGAACCCCGCCGTCACCTCCGCTCCCGCCTGACGCCGCCCCTACTCCGTCCGCCGCTCGCGGCATCTCGAACAGGGCACCCCCGCCCCCGTCACCCCCGTCCACCGTGCCCACCGGCCCAGCCCCGAGCGCCGCAAATCCTGGGGCCCGCGCACCCCCTTGCTCTACGCCTGGCG